TTCCCCTTTCACAAAAGCAACTTAAATATTCAGTATTTAAAATATTTCAGAATATAAAGACAATCTAATATTTAAGTCAAAAATAGAAAGATGCCCTATGGCATACAGGTCTGCCTCCTGTCTGCCATACATCTTCAGTTTAATGCTAGTAGATGATGTGTGATTAAATCCTGCGGCCAGCTTTGAAAGTCCATTTTAGCTTAGAAGTAATTATATATGAAAATCTGTGCTGTGTAGGTAACTTGTGTTTATGCTTAGTAAAGTGTAAAACTGGAATCTCTATTTATAAAGTTGTAGTTTAAGGTTCCCTTTTGTTCTGTCCTTGATTTAATTCAGTCTATTCAAGTTTTGCTCAAACAGCAGGTTTGGTCATTAGTAAATAACACAAAACCAGCTTAGCTCTTTGATCTATGCAGTCCTTACACACAATGTGCCTGAAGACATGTGTAATATAAATATTTGGTAAGTGCAAATAATTAAAAGATTTTGGATAATAGGCATGTTGAAACTAGCAGTATTTTGCAGATTTTCTGTTCCTGTTGGATGACACAGGGAACAAATAAGCAAGAAAAACCTCAAATCATCTAAAAATTTGCAAAGCATTTGTTTTTAATAGCAGTTGTAAAAATTGCTTTGCTCTTTAATCCCATTATTTACATAGGAAAAAAAGTGTATTGTTGATCTGCATAATTATAAAATGAGTAGGGATTTTAAGCTTCATATACGCGTTGTCTTTAGATTCAGAGGTACAAAACTTGACATCAGAGTTCAGGTTTTTTTTGGAGTGTGCTGCTGCTTTCATTAATATTACTCAGTTGAACTGGCAAAAAAAGTATTTCCAGCTAAAGAGTTTTGTTACTGTTTTGATTATTAGACTGTTAGGTTAAACTTCATCCTTTGACAGTGACAAAAGACTGTGAACAGATCCCATCACCCTTTTTGTACTACTCAATATTGAGGAACCCAATAAAGAAATTGGTGATTTCTGGTATAGACTCCATCTCCAAAGAACACGTCAGGGAAATGTCCCTGAACCCCAGTGAGTATAACTGCCAGGTAGAACTGCCTGCAAAGGTAGAACTATTTTTTTAAATTTTTAATACATGAAAGCAGGATAGTTAGTCCATTTTTGAGCTGGTTGTCATTTACTTCTTGCCTTTTTTGTAACAATTTTATTCCAAAAATCACAGTGGGGAAGTAGTCTGTTAGCTTGAGGTTTCATTTGGTTTCCTCTGTGATTCAGCAGCTTATGTGAGGAGAGGGAGATGTTTCTCCTACCACTTGAAGCTAGTTCTTAAACAACTTTGAGTTCTTACACACTGCAAGGAGCTCTCAAAGGGCCTTTCAGAGACTAGCAACATCTTCAAAGCTTTGTATAGCATAAGATACAGAGGTTTTTGTAAGAAAGACTGATCATTCTTCACATCTGTAATTATTCTCAATAATTATTTTTATAAATATGAAATTATTGGGTTGGTCAAAAAGTAAGTGCCTTTTTTTAATAGATGGACATACATGTCTTGAAATGTAACTAACTTCATTTTAAACCAATGTAACTAACTTCATTTTAAACCAATTTTAAAATTCATTAAGTAACTTGACAGCTGACAGTTCAATCTTGTTTTAGAAAAAGAAAATGCACAATTTCATTATTAATTACTTGGCATTGATTTCAAAATGGAAAATCAAAAGGAACACTTTTGTCATATTTTGCCGCATTACTTCAGAAAAGGAAAAAAATATGTGCAAGCTCATAAAAAGTTATGTGATGTGTACAGTGAAGATGCCTTAAAACTACAACAGTGTCAGAATTGGTTTTCTAAATTTCAGTCCAGGGATTTTGATGTTAAAGATGCACTATGCTCAGGAAGGCAAATCAAAGTAGGTAACGACAAAATAAAGGCATTGATCAACTCCAATCAGCATTTAATGACACAAGAGATTGATGATAATCTTAACATACCAAAATCAAGCATTGGAAACCATTTTAAAACAACATGGACATGTTAAGAAGCTTGATATTTGGGTACCTCATGAGCTCAAAGAAATTAATCTCATTAAGTGCATTAACATCTGCAGTTCTCTCTTGTAACATGAAGAAAGCAATCCATTTTTGAAACGTATGATAACAAATGGATCATCTACAACAATGACAAATGAAAAAAATCATGGAGCGAGCATGATGAATGAAGCACTTCAGAAGCAGATATTCACCAAAGGAAGGTTATGCTGTCAGACTGGTGGGATTTCAAAGGCATTGTGTATTTTGCATTGCTTCTAAGGAACCAAACCACTGATTCAGACATGTGCTATTGGCATGATTTAATTTATCCAGTTGACATCAAACAAATGTCCAGAATTGATGAATCATAAAGGTGGTGTGTTTCTCCATGATAATGCTAGACCACATACAAATTTGGTCACTCATCAAAAATTGTTGCAGCTTGGATGGTGTGTTACCACATCCACCATATTTGCCAGACCTGGCACCATCAGGCTACCATTTGTTTTGTTCTTTATAAAATACCTTGAATGGTAAAACCTTCACTGCTGATGAGGCTATCAAATGGTTCTTGGAACTGTTTTTTTCTGAAATAGATAAGAACTTTTTTGAGTGTTGAATCGTGAAGTTGCCCGAAAGATGGCAAAAGGTAATCGAACAAAATGGACAATATATTGTTTAATACAGTTTTTGTTTACCATGAAAAATTTGCCTTTCATTTACCCAGGAAAAAAAGCAATTATTTTTTGGCCAACCCAATAGATTGTCTTTTCCAGCAGCAGCCCTCACTGGTTTTGCATGAAACCATTTTACTAATAAAGCAAATGACCTGTTTTACTTGAGTTGTAAGATAGGTGTAAGATTTAAGAGATATAAGATACAAGAGAGGTATTTGCTTGTCATTTAACTGCTCTACGGAAAGTGCCTGGCACTGTTCCATCATGTTCATGTAGCTCCTGAGCAATCTATCATCATGTTTTCTCAGTCTCTCTAGGTTACTATAATGACACCTAATCTTTTAAATCTGTGATTTTCTCTCCCTGCTTTCCTGGAGCTTTGTCTGTGTCATTTGATTTACTTTGGTCTTAAATTGAAAGGTTGGTTAGCATTTGAAAGCAAGGCTGGAAACAGAAGCTCTCTACTTGTCACAGGGAGCAGACGGGGCTGAGATGCATCTTGGTTCATGCAAAAGCAGATTTTGGTCTCAGTCCTGCCCTTGTGGAGGCTCAGGAGCCTGCATGAATAAATTCCATACTTGCAGTGAATGTACACCCTCATTGGATCTTGCTGACAGCTTTAGTCCCCTGGCACATGAAGCTTCACAAAATGAAGCAACTTTTGATTATTTGTAACTGTTGTGGTTTATCCCCACAAGCAACTGAGCTGCTTGTTCACTCGGCTCCGGTGGGGTGGGGAAGCAAATCAGAAGAGTAAAAGTGAGAAAACTCTTGGGTTGAGATAAAGACAGTTTAATAGCAAAAGTTGAGCATGCAAGAAAAGCAAAACAAGGAATTCATTCACTACTTCCCATTGCCACGCAGGTGTTCAGCCATGTCCAGGAGAGCAGGGCTCCATCACTTGTAATGGTTACTTCGGAAGACAAATGCCATAACTCGGAATATTCCCCCTTTCCTTCTTTTTTACCTAGCTGAGCATGATGTCATATGGTGTGGAACATCCCTTTGGTCAGTTGGGATGTCCCAACTGTGTCCCCTCCCAACCTGTTGTGCACCTACTCACTGGTGGGGTGGAGTGAGAAGCAGAAAAGGCCTTGACTCTTGTGTGAGGACTTCTCAGGGGTAATGAAAACATCCCTGTGTTAGCAGCACTGTTTCCAGCACAAATCCAAAACGTAGCCCAATACTAGCTACTATGAAGAAAATTAACTCTATCCCAGCCAAAACCAGCACATTCTCCACCTCTTATTTCATGCCATTTATGTCATGCTCAGATACCACAATGTCCAATAAAACCTTATTAACCACTACCCTCCTTCCCATCCTTTGATATAGACACCATTCCCTTAGTCCATGGACCACACCTATGAAATGTCTGTAAAATGTCCATAATGTCCACAGAATGTCTTCTGAGCTCATTTAGTCCATGACTTTGGACTCCATTTGTTATGGTGGTCACTCAGGACAGGAGAGGTGATGTGTTGTGTGAAGTTACTGGGCACCAAAGCCAAATCAGGTCAGGTCACTGCTGCACTTGTGCTGCTTCCTTTAAGGCTTCTCCTCCATCAGTTCAGGTGGTTCCTGCTATAGTAATTCCTATAAGATGCAACTCAAAGCCTGGGTTACAACAATTTAAAAGTGTTTCTATTACAATGCCTGCCCCTGGTTCCCTTGGACCAGACCATTGGGTTTAACATTGCAATGAACTCCTCCCCATGCTGTAGTATTCTGGAAGTAAAGATCTGCAGTTTAAGCTTGGCACAGGGCTCTGTGGGAAACCAGCAAAACACAAGGAACAACAGAAGGCAAAGAAGTTCAAGCAGTGTAGCCAAGGAGACACCCAGGTGCATCGCAGCTAGTTATCTGCTGCTTTTCTGGCTGAGTCTCAAAAGCCTGTATGCGTACATTGCAGTGCTGTTCCTAGTAGCATCTAGGAGGAGAATGTAGTGCCAAAGCCAAGCTGCCACTCCTGAGAGGCCAGGGCACATCACTTAGAGAAAATGTAATGTATCGCTGCTTGAGATCTCAGTATTTGGGCAGAGTCCAGTTGTGGTTTAGCTTGCAGTTTAAGTACCCAAATGTAATTGCTGTGATTATGAACTTTCTCCTTTTGTCACATGGTCTAGTGTAATTTTGTTCCTAATCATCCATTATCACATTAGAGGCATAGGTTTATCAAATAACTTACCAGGTGAATGACATGTATTTAGTTAGCTTTGTGCTGATGATGAAAAACATTGCAAAGTTTGTCACTTTCTCTTCTTTGGTATCTGTAAGCTTTGCAGAAACTCACCTAAGGAGGTTCCTGCACAAGTAATCTGATGGCTCAATGCCAGGTTTTCCATTATTACACTAAAGGTACTTGCTTCCAGAAAAGATCAATTAAGTGCATTTCTGTGGATCTCTGCCATGAAGATTATGCTATCATGGTACGGTATGTCCTTATGAAAGATGAAGAGTGTTGTTGCACCTAGACTTCGTATACAAAAAACATTACTTGTTACTTCACGTTTGGAGATTACTTACTTTGCATTTCTTGTTTCTTTCTTTTTTCTTTTTTGCTGAATAGACTTGGATTATCACTTGCTTTTGTCTTCAGCTACTCCTACTTAATCCTCTTGTCAAAGCCCAAAGTTCCTGCGGGAATCCAGTGACAGATGATGTGAATGACATTGTAAAATTGGTAAGTACCTTTTATTTTAAATTATTCTTTATGTTAAACAACAATCAGTGTCTAATGGCACTTACATTTTAGGCAAAGTTAGCAAATCTGTGTTAGAACCAGGGGAATATTAAAAAAAAAAATCCATCAACATCTATCACTTGATCAAAAAACAAAACCTTTATTGCAGAGACTTGGAGAATAGTTTCAGGGTTCACTGAAGAGATGACCTTCTTGACCAAGCTGGAGTGTATGTACGCATATGTTTTCCTCTCTCCAGACTTCCATGAAAATTGTCAGAAATCTTTATTTCCTCCAACATTGTCTGGGATCAGATTGCTTCCCATGCAGATGAAATATCATTGTCTTTGTATGGAGCAGAATGGTGGCAAGCACAGCTGAAATGAACCAGAAGTCTTTACCTTAGATATATGGGAAACTCACACAAAATATAGAAATAGTATGATATTACACTTCGTTGTAGCAATCAAGGCAATAATGACTGAACAGCTCTTACAGTCTTTAGGTGTGAGTGGGCTACATTCATTATGTGTTCCTTTCTCTACTTGCTGTGCCTAGAAGTTTTAAGTCTGAAGGACTCATGGCTTTTTATGAGAACTGAATTAATTTAAGTACATTTTAACTGCTGCTTAATTGAACCTGCATTAACCTGAAAAACTGCATGTCCTTGTGTGAAGTCATTTGGTAGTTAACTCCACTGAAATCTTGTGTACTGAACACTTAACAAGTATACCTTCACCTACATATTGACTTCGGCTGAAAATTATGGATTCATTATGGAAAATGGTTGCAATACCAGCATTAATATTATCAAACACTTCTTTCAGAGTCCCTTGCCTTTGCTGCCAGTACAGTGTTCTTAACTTTTCTTTGGACATTGTTATATGCATTGGCACATAGCATGAATCTCAGGGGAAGCTCCACAGTCTACTCAGATGCTTAGTGCTTCACATTAGTCCCTGTAGGCAGAATTCTGAAGTATTGGCATGTTTATTCAAGATAACATTTCATTTCTTGAAAGAGTATTAAGCTTTGATTTAAACCTTTTGAAAGCATGACTTAACAACAGAACTCCTGGGAGGGCTGGTGAAATTGTCTAGTACAATGTTAGCAATAGCTTTTTGTCATTTATGTATCCTCAGAACAAACACTTTTAATTTCCCTTTAGTTCAATTTAAACTTCAAGAATGTATAAATACAGGTTACAAAAATTTGCATGCAACTTGAGCAATCACACTTTACTTTTGAGGTAAATTATGAAAGAAACCTAATATCATGAAATTAAATTAGTCTTTAGTTTGACTGTGACTTTCCATATCATGTTCCTTCATCTTCGTCCAGACTAGTCCAGCAACTGCAGTTCTTTCTTGCATATACCCCTGCAGCACTATGTTTCCATACCCTCACCCTGCTCCACATTGCCTCTTAGTTCTACACATGCAATGTGGTTGCCAACTCCCTCCCATGCTCCCTATGCATGATGCCTACCTGAGCGATGTTTTGAGCTCTTGCCAAATTTATATCCTCTTTTGCTTGGGCTGCTGGCTGGACTGGAAGGACTTCATGTGGTGACTGTTCTGATGTATTTGCTGCTTGTCCAGGAAGAAAACCTGTGTCCGGCTTCCACTGCTTGTCTGCTGCTTCCAAGGCTGAGCAGAGCAGGGCAGGGCTGAGCTCCTCTGGTCACACCTCAGCAAGGCTGCTATATTGTCCTTCTCCTGACCCCATAACTTTCAGATCTCTCTACTGAATACAAAATTTGGGTGAAGTTAAGTAGCAAGTTCAAAGATATTTTCAGTTGGCAAAATAACAGAGAGATGCAATAAAAAAAAGGGCAGACACCTGGATTCTCTCTGTTTTGAGTTGTGCATCTGAGAATGTTTTGAAGAAAGTCTTTATCCCTGTGTTGTCTCTCCATGTTAATATTTGCATAGATTTGTCATAAGTAATTTCTATAAAGCCGCTTGAGAACTGAAATGATAATATGGAAATAAGTTTTGTATCTTAAATTTAGTGTGAGAGCTCTTGATTTCAGTTAAACTGATCATTCTCTGTTGAAATGCTACACCACGACTCCTTGACATTGAGAACAAAATGAAAGAAACTACATGTAATAAGGTTTAAAGTACTTTTAAAACAAAATATCATTAACTGACAGTTTGCATATGAGAAGGGAGAAATTCACAGAGAATATTGGTTGATCACATTACTTTGCTAGATAGTACAATATTTTTAATGCTCTATGGAGTATAACCTTAATACATATAATACGGACTCCAACATGATATTACTTACAAATATGGTTCAGGCAGATCCTACAACTCTTGTAAATTACTGTAAATGTTTTTGTACCACTTCTGCTTTTTGAAACAAAATTGAAAACAAAAATTGAAAAAAAAATTGAAACAAAATTTGAAACCCGTTGAATTAAGGAATAATATTCCAATGACTTGCATCTTCAGAATTAGATAGAGCACCCATAGATGGTTGGGTTCTTTATTGATCCAAAGAGTTTGTGTCAGTAGAACACAATGTCTTTAATAAATGTCCTTCCCTTTCACACTGAGAACAAGTGGTAGTATTTAGGATTTCGGAGAAGCTATTGTTATGTGTACAGTTATTGTCCATAGTTACTGTGATGTTATTTTCCAAAAGCTGTATCACACTTGCTGAGAGTGGTATGGCAGTTCTTTCCAAAGGCTTTATTCTTGGCCACGCTGTCATGTTCTTTAAACCCTTTTGTCCACAGTCATGAGTATAGTCTTGTATCTGTGTGTGGCAAACTTTCATTCAGTAGTAGTATACAAGTCCCATCTTTTAGCTTAGGATATTGACCTGTCTTTCTCCTCTCTCACCACAAATGTTCAGACATCAGCTTAGATACAGCAGGGCCTGAATATTCCACTGAGGTGAATTATGATCTCTTCATCTCACAGAAATGTTATTCTTCCCTGAGCCTTTTCTCCTCACTGTAAAGGTGTATCACCATCTCTCCCAAAGCCATTCAGGACTATAACAAAGGTGTCCAGTTTGGCTCTTTCCACTTCATAGACCCTTGTAAGTTCACTTTTAAAACTTCCATTGTCATATCCTGTTTTCCCTGTCATAACAGGAAAAAATGTTTTTGTAGCACTGTGTCCATACAAATTCACTTTTCTTCCAAATTCTTGGTGGATAAAAATCCAGTCTTCTGAAAATTCTTTTTCTGGCTTCAACTTCTATAATTTTGCCCTTCTGTTTATTAATTTGCTACTCTGACCTTATGTGAGAACTTTAAAAGAGCGTAATTTCATATCTATGGAGAACAAAAGTGTTTAGAGCATATTTGTTCTGCATTAGTAATCATATTAATTTCTGCTTCTTTTTTAATGATGATATCCGGAGAGTAACACATTACTTGATGAACAAATGTATCATATTGTGAAACTGTAATTGCAGCACCTATCAGTAAAGCCTGTCCCCATTGTTCTTTTCAGCACAGAAAGCTGCATTGCTGTAACTGTGACTGACTTGTATAACAATTAGGAATCTGTTTTATATATTTGTTAAATATGTACATTAAACCTACATCTAAGTATAATTTTCACTGAGCTGTGCAGTATGTGTAGAATGTCCCTGTATATTTTGATTTCAACCATTAACAGAATGTAAGGTATTCACTTCTTCTTCCATGATCTACTTCTCTAAAGCAGTTTTTTCTTTTGAGTGTTGGAAACCAAAACAATAGTCAGCATTTACTGACCAGTTTGGTTGGTTGAGACATGCTGTTTCGATCACTTTGCCTTCACATTGCATCTTTGCTGTAAATGTGTACTTTACACACTGCAGCATTTGATATTTATTTTTAAATGGATCTGACTCTCCTGAGTGAAAGGGTTATAAAAAATGATCCAGTGTTGTTATCCTGCAACTACTCTGGCACTATGGCTGTAAGAAGTGTGAACAGAAATTGTTAGCATGTTGTCTTAAGCCAAATGATGAGGATTTTATTAACTGCTTCATTAGCACATGAGATAGAGTAGATTGCAGAGATGCTGGGTAGAAAGTGGAAGCTCCTGCAGGAAAAGAAATGTCAAAGATGCAAAGAAGGGAGACACAGAGATATTAAAGAGTAGGAAAAGGGGAATGATGAAGAGAGAAATGGGAGATAGCAACGGTAGCTAAAAGGAAAGCATGGTTTTCCCATCATATGCCTCAGAGTAAAAAAGAAATCACTGACTATGATAAACAGTAATTTTTACTTTATTAACTTAGTCTTTGATCTGTATATATAAAAAAAAATCTATGCTTTTCTCCTTAAAATTTTCAGAATAGTCACAGTAAAGAGAATTTCCAAGAGCAGTAGCCCTCATTTCAAAGCACTTGACTACAGAGATAGGTCATGTTTCTTGTATTCTGCTGTTGTGATAAAAGAGTAATTTATGGATCCCAAATAGCTTTTACAACATGCCTTTTTCAGCTCCCCATTCATGTAACAATGAGCATATTTTAAAAGTGTATTTGGGTTATGCAATGTTAACAGTATTCTATTAAATATTCAGACTTCTGTATGTCAAAAGAAATCTTGCATTGCACAGTTTGAGATTTTGTTACAACTGGGAATATTGCACTTAATGTTGGTTTTATATGGATTTAAAGACATAAGTCTAGATTCCCTGTTCTTCGCCTCTTCTCAGAACCTGATAGGATTTCTATAACCATGCACATCCACTAAATCAGAGAAACTTTTTGTGGCATTTTAATTGCAATGCAAGTTTCTTTTAGTTCTGTACATTACTATCCAAGATTACCAGCTGATGTTCTCTATAGTCATCAAGACTTTTGTCCAAACCAAGGTAAGTCATGCAGGCAGGTGTTTTGTTGCCCCTAAATTTGTCACTGTACTTAAGGAGTTTAGTACAGGAAGCAATAAAGCCATTCCGGGACTCAGGGTATTTCAAGGGACAGTCCCTTTCCATCCCCCTTTGCTCAAGCAGCTCAGAGCCCTCTTGTCCTCTGCTCCTTGTGGGCATCCACAGCAGTCAGGCACCCTGCACAAAGCTGATACCCAGAGTCCTGCCATTCCTTAAAGAATCATTTCAGCAGTTGGACATCAAGTGGTTGGTTTTGGATCATAGTCTTGGTGGTTAGTCTTTGACAAAGATTCATTTTGGGAAAGCAGGAGCGTACAAAATGCACAGATTTAGTAGAAACATATCCTTCACTCTTACATCAGGAGCTCTACCCTATTTTCTGTGCGTGAGTTAGGAAGTCCAACTGGGACACAAATATAACTCCCTTGCTTTGTCTGAGCTCCATCATTTACCATCACCAGAGCATCTGGCATGTGGAGCTTAATCGATAAAACTTTAACAAGTTGTTGCGTCTTGAGGCAGGGCATATATTTTGTGTTTGACAACTTCCCCCCCAGTGATCTTCATTTTTAGTAGTAAATTCAAAAATATCTTTTCTGATTCACAGTCTGTCAAGGAGAAAAATATTTGAGGCTGAGCTGTATTCTCCAGCTTTGTCTGAGAAGCTGTAAGAGCTCTTGGGAAGTTACATGTTTTTAACTGTGCCTGAAAGTGCTTGACAGGCTCTGATGCCAGTAAAGTAGATTGTATACATAATGCATATAAATTCTTGTAGTGTTCATTGGTTTGGAACAAATTTAATCTTCCAGTGACCTTTCTTAAAGAATGTTGCTTTTGCTGACATTGCTAAGTGTTGGATCTCTCTAGAGTGAGTATGGGAAACTTTGCACACACAGTAGCCTCTTTGCTATCTTTGCTGCTTGAAGTGCTGCTGCTCCTACCTCTCTTATGCACACAAAGGAAACTGGATTACCTATTAATGTGTCACGATGTCAGGATGTTTTCAGAGGAAGGAAGGGTTTAGAATGAATCAGATGCTCTAAAGAAAGAACAAACCTATTGCAATATTTTTCAGTATTTATGACATCTTGAATTAAATCCTCTAAATGCCACGTAAATAGAAATTGATATAGAGAATTTTAGTGGTACTTTTGCAACTGCTGCAGGTAGGTATAAAAGTAATAATAATTAAAAATCTATGGAAAGCAATTTACCAGGATCATTTGTATCAAAATTGGTTTTTAAAGCTGTAGGAGAAAGCTAGATGTCATTGAACTGAAAGATTGTGGTTCAGCCCACATTGTAAATAAAAAAATGTTTGCAATTCACTTGTGACTGACTGTGCATAAGTATTGTCCTTGATCATTTATAGAAACATAACATTTTGAAATTGCTGCTTTAATTTTTAATTGAAACTAAATTTTAATTAACAAATAAAACATTCTGTTGTGCCAAACAAAATACTACCTAAAAACTGCATAGGGAAAAAAAAATCCCTATGGTGGTTGCTATAGCAGCAGAATAAAAAGCAGCCATAAAAGAATGATTTTTAACCTGAAGAAACAGAAATGCTTTTCTGAACAAGGTGTAGATTCTTCTTCACCAAAGGAATTATGCGTGTACTTACTGCTTTTTGTCTAAATGGATTTCAAACCAGGACGAGAAATATCAACTGAATCTTTCACTGATAGAAGTGCTAATACGTTTGCTGTATTCCTAAGCATCATAGCATTGGTAAACCTTTTGAAAAAAGTACTTCTAGAGATTGTGGATTGTGGCAGCATCTCCCTCTTCATCTACCCACTCAGCACATTCCCCAGATGACCAACCATGTCTCACAGTAGAGTTGGATCCCATCCACGGCGGACTGCATTGTATAATTCAGTGAGAACTCTTCTTCCACTCCTTGTCCTTGCTTCAGCACATCCCGTATTTTTCGCCCACATCTGCAAAGCCATGCTCAGCTGACGTGCAGAAGCTGTCCTTTGCCCCAGGACATTGCTATGATATAATTATGTTGCTTGTTGTGAGTAAGAGGAAGAGCTTCAAAGTTAAAAGTTGTGCTCAAGTGTTTTCCTGACCTGGTACATAACTAAACACAAAGAAGGCAAGTATTCCTTTAGGTTCAGATGCTTACTGAAGTTGGAAATTAGTTGGAGGAAAAAGGCTTAGAGACTAATGGGTCTTTTACTGTTTAGAGTGGTTGGGATTACTGAGAAATTGTCACATAAACACTTCAAGACGTGCCATTAAAAGATGAAAGTGCTATGGACTTTCTGCAGTAATGAATAACTTCAGATCACATCTCCTCACCACTTTCCTGACTTTAATTGTGCTGGGAAGTGGTAGCATTGAACGTGATCAGATTGGATCTGGGAATGCTACAGGGGTAGCATTCACTTGTGAGCAGATAAGAGTCGGTAGCAGTTTGAAGGAAACTGAGTATGTAAGCTTTTGTGCCTGGTAGGTTACTGAAAAATTGTGTTGGATATTTGATAGATTTTGTTGAATACAGTGATGGAAATTAAATCTTACTTTGTGTACTCAGTAATAACGTTTTTATTATCTGTTTATTGTAGGTTGGAAATCTCCCAAATGATTATATGATAACCCTTAAATATGTCCCGAAGATGGATAGCCTGGTATGTACAACCACTTCAAGTTAATCCAATAAAATAGCCCACTGGAACCAGTGATGGCTGTAACATTTTGTACCTAGTCCTATGGCTTAGCAAGTTACGTTTAAATAATGGTTATTTCACTTTTCATATACCTTGCAAGTATTCATTGAAAAGAAATGTAGAGAGCTTCCTGCAGTCACTTAAAGCCTTTTTAATTACAGGAATCTTAGAAACTGTTTCTTCATATAAAATGTTTTAAGATTTTCTCTGGAAAAAGTCAAAGTATGGTATTATTTCATCATGTCAGTTGAAAATTGTTGTTTTCTTGAAGACCTAGTTTCTTTCTAATCATACTTTGAAATATACTGTAGAACGTCCTCGTTTCAGCCAGTGGAAATGCCATTAAAGCCCAACAAATACTGAGTAGCCAATAAGGAGAACCTTAAGTTCAGTAAATGGTAGCATCAGTAACTGAACATACTGGTAGAAAGTGAGGACATAATTCCATTCAAATGTGCTTTGTATTATTCTTTCTATATAATCCTATAGTTAATATATAGTGATACTTTCTAATAAGTATCATGTACCTTCTTTAAAATTTTATAACATTTTGTATTAAAAACTTGTTCATATTATCTCATTGATTATTCTACTAAATATTTTTGATGTTTTTCCTTAATTAAAAAAAATATGATGTATTGAAAATGCTCTCTTGGTTGTTGCATACACTGTAAGAAAAAGGAAAGAAAGAATTAAGGGGAAAGTAGAAATTATGCTACACTACACTACTTATGCTACTACACTATATTGTTTTAAGAAAAGAAAACAGTAAGAAAAATACTAGTTTGTCAGTTAACTGAACAACATTGTGCCTGTCTTAAGAGTAAATCACTGTACACATACATCAGTAGTTGGAAATCAGCTCATAGATGTAAGAAGCTGTGTTTGTGTCTGTACAAAGTTTTCATTATGGAAATCCAAGTTGTGTGTGGTGCACATATAAAAATGCATTCTATCCTACAACTTTATAGCAAATCTAGCAATATTCCATGTTGACATTGGAGAACCATGCCAGAAGCAACATTCTCTCAGTCCTGAATAACACAAGTTAAGAAGATGGCTGGAGAAAATGGAGGCCATGGGACAGTGAAGGGCCCTGAGCTGTGAGGTTATGAGGTATTATGGCAGGTCTGGCAGTGTTCTTATGAGTTTTGTTGGAAACTCAAGACTTTTACTAAAACTTAAAGTACTTTAGAAAATCCATTTAAGCTTGATTCCTTAGAAGGAAAAATTCTGCAGAACAAATGCTATGAAGTATAAAGGTTTAATGTCATTAAAAATAATGGAAAAATTTCCATTTCTGAAAACAGACAATATCCAGAGAAAAAAAGAAGTAAGACTAGCTGCCACCTTCTCCTGGCTGCAGTGCTTTTTGAAATTCAATTATTTTGGTGCCTGATGTGGTGAGATTCACATCTTTGGAGGACAGCCATAGCCCAAGCACTGCTTTCTGGCCTTTGGTATGGGCAAGAGCTGGGCTGAATCAGGGCCATTCCTTCCGCTGTGCTCCTGGGGAGGTTGACACTGCAGATGAAGAAGACCAGGGAGCCTGCTTGAGCGATGAGTCCTGGTCGTTCTCAATGCTTAATTCTTACCTCTCTCTGTAGTTCAGTTTTGACTGCCAGTACACAGTTTCTTTTCTGTAGTTTAAATGCTGTGTCATCTTGCTGCATCATATCCAAAAACTTAGATCCAGTTTACATTTACGATGAGCAGCCAAGAAATAAATAGGAAGGAGAGAAGTTCAGAACTGGGATTTCCATATACCCTTTGCTTGTACTCCACTTTCAGTCATGGTGATGAAAGGTGCAGCTTTTGGCCACATGCCGTCACAGGAGGAAGTATTCAGCAGTATTCACATCCCTCTTTGCCAAATTCCTCTCTAGGGATTTCAGGTTGTGTTACACATACCACAGCAAAGGCTGGCTGAAGAAAGTTTTGCTCTGGGTTCTGCAAGGTCCCTGCAAGATGAGAAACCCACAACTTTGCCTAAGGCAAACGCCCTTTGTTCAAGTCTGAAAGGACTGAAATGATGCTCTGCAATTTTTTTTTCAGTAGATTTCAATCTTCACCGCATGCATAAAGTGGGAAATGCACCCAAGGTAGCAAGTCTCAAATGTAGATGACTAGAGGTAGGAAGGCAGCGTGAATGCAAAACAGATGGGAAGCTAGTGTAGTGCATGTAACAGGAACAGACTGACCTAATCCATTAAACGGAAGGGTTGTTGCATTATGCACTAGCTCAAGGCATCTAAGTGGCTTTAAAAGTAGTCTCACATAGAATGAACCATGTAGGCTAAACTGAAGGTTAAAAGGCAAATATGACAGCAGCAGGGAGGAGATAAACTTCAAACCTTTGCAAAGATGTAGAAAGAACAAGCTAAATGAGGACTACATGGAAGTACAAGGGAAGTCAGGTTTGTCGTAGCCCTAAAACGTAGATCTTGGTCAAAGTTTACACAAAAAAAGCAGAGTTAAGCTTCTATTTCTCCTTGCAACAGTGCCACATTTCTCAATTGCAACAGCTTCATCCTTGTGTTTGGTAGCAAGTCATTGCACAGCTTGATATTCCTAAAAGAAAACTTGAAGCTCTCGTGAAATACAGCTCTCTAGGTCAGAACAGTTCAGTCAGAGGAGACTCCCACGCACATGCTAAACCGCGGGAGCAGCAAAATAGATTCCCTGATGGAATTGCCAAATGCTCACTAGGAGAAGCGGTAAGCTTTTGTTAGTTGCTGCCAGAAGAGAATGCACACCCCCAGAACCTCAGAGGGAAAAGGTGTCTAAGTCTGCAGTTCAGGGAAGCACAGAAGTTCTGTGTCCGTGTTCCTACACCAAAGCAAAGGAAAACATTTTGTCTGTGTCATGAGGGTAATGGGACATGGCACAAAGCATGGTACTTGAACAGAGTATGTTTCAACAAGCTTTTTCTGATTTATTCACTTCTACCTCACCTCTTCTGTTCTTGTGCTTGAAGGAAAAAAAAGGAAAGCAGAGAATCAAGTTAAATGCCATCCATTTCACATTTTGGTTCATTCCTTTTTTAAGTCATTGTTGAGATAAATACAGAAGGTGATAATACAGACTTGTCATTCGTTATCAGTGTGTGAGAGAGTTGTACACAAATGTCAGGTGGAGCTGAGCACTGTATTTACATTCAGTTCTCTAAGCCTGGAAGCATAATAGTCTGTTTAGTCTTTGAAAGCATGAAGTGTGTTTTTCGTCATCAAATACATTTACACATCAAGGCAGAACAACACCTGTGTCACCAAGAAAGTAATTTGTCTTCAAGTAGCAGGTATTGATAGTAGTGGATAATTTTTTTTGAATGAAGAATCTGTATGCAGATTTATTGCAGAAATTGAGTAAAATGAGATTAAGTCTGGAAGTGGACACATTGTCAAACATTTACTGTACATTACAGAAAGTGAAGTGGATGGATTCAGTGGATGCTGCCCATCCACTGGACAGCAACTGGAAAGTGATTTAGCGATACTGAGAGTACTTAAGGGTTGCTGAGCCAATGTCTTCATAGCTGGCAGGCTTTAATGATTGTGAGACATTTTCAGCCATTAAATAGCTTTACATATGGAAGAAATTCCTGTAACATTTACCATTAAAAATTCAGCACTCATTGGGAAGGAATTTCAAGGTACGTGTTGCAGTGTGACTAGTGTTTGACTAGTGACTAGTGACCTGTATTTTTGCTGACCATATTGAGTTAGGGATTTTCCTGGGCTGGGTGGTTTTTTTATTTACTTGACTACTGTTATGTAAATCTAAGTAAAATAAATTAATGACTCCTATAAGGCAGCAAGATTAATGACCAGGTTTCAGTCACATGAACAGCTGTACAAACTGTACCTGCATGCTAATGCATAGGTGTCAGTGAAAGGGTTTGAACTCTATTGCAGTGGCACAGATGTGGCAGATACTGCAACATAACCCTTTTATTGATGAAAACTCAGGAAAAGAAGAACTTTTAGATCTAGAAACTGTTCTCAGGAATGGCATTTAGTGAAAAAGCTGAAGAGAAGGAGTTAACTGAGCTAACTAGTTTAAAGGTGGATAAAAGCACACATGGATTTCATGGAAAATGTTTACAGAAACCTTCCTCAGAAGAGGTTTAAATCAAGGATCTTTGGGGTTAACTGAGTCATGTAAGGTAACAATAATAAAATGAAAACTGATATTGATTTAAAGAAAGTCTGGAGAAAATTGTTAAATCGGTAATTATTTTTAAAAAATAGGTTAATGAAAACATGTAAGAGGGTTCATAGTAGCATGTTCCAAGGCTCAAATTCTCTACAGGCTGATGCTTAGCATTCATTAAGAATTTAATGACATAACAACAGACAACCAGTCAGTATCAGTGATAATAGAAATTTTACCAAAAGGACTGAAGAGAAAGTTTGCCACACTGAAGAAAATGAATTTTAATTTAGACTTTCAAGTTAATTTAGATTTAGTTAATAAATTAATAAAGATTAATTTAAAAGTCTAATTAAACAGTCTCATCTGTTTTTGCCATTGAGTTGCTTAACCAATTTTTTCAAAAATCTGATATTTAATCTACCTCTCTGTTTCTCTTTTTGTCCCTTGATAGCCTAATCACTGTTGGTTGCATTTGATGGTGCCTGCATTTTCAAGGAGTCTGCATAATCTTCTCCAGAAGTTTTCAGATATTTCAGATATGTCTGATGTTTTAAGCAACTATTCAATCATCAATAAACTCACAAGGATAATTAATGATCTTATGGCATGTCTAGCTTTTGATAAAAATAAGGTAATCTAATACAGAGCTTCTACTTTTATGCTGGGTATTTTTATTTGAACTTTATGTTGCACAGTCCTCAGTAATAGTTAAAAAATGTCCAAAGCTTTGTTAGGTTTGTCCTCATTTTTTACTCCTGTACATCTGAAATCCTTCTTTGTTTAGAAATGCACTGAGTTACACTGTGCTAATGTTGGCTAGTCATTATCTTGTTTCAAAGGAAAATGGCTTACAAGGAATTACAGTATATACAATGACCTATATACAGTTATATAAGTAGTCAAAAATGTAACTGTCATCTTTAAGTTAATTAATTCATTCTGATCTGTTTGAAACAGGCAGAAATCTTCCTTGTGCATCCAGCTTGAATTACTCTTTTTGCTAGTGATCCTAATGTAAATCTAAAGATGATGTGGTTGAAGCTATTAATATACTCTTAATACATATCACAGTGTGTGAGGCTCTGAAAGCTTCACTATGGTTTAATGAACTTTTTTATACAAAGGCACAGCAAAGACTAGAGTATATCAGCCTGTTTCCATGTGTCTCTGGATGCCAACAGCATCTGGAAAGATTCCAGGAGTGTCACTCAAGAGACATCTGATTTTCTTGAGTGAAATTGATGGGGGAAAATTAACTTTCTAATCCCTTACCCAGCTCTAACCAGTCTTATCAGTAATTAAAAACAAGTTCTGTAGTCAAAGGTTTTGTCGCACTAAATAAAATGGCCAAAATCCATCACATTATTCAGGGCAAGGTTTTCTTCTTCCATATACATTTATTTTTGTCGAGTAAGTCCTTACCTGTTCTAATTGCACCTTTTTAATATCCAGAATGAATCAGATGGACTAAAGTACTCAATCTCATTTAGAGTGTCGTAACTGTGTAACCCTGTCATATATGGCATTATGTTGCTGAGAGTATTTAGACATTCCCCACCTTTCCATTTCAAATGGAATTGTTTCCAATCTTCAATGTATCTGTTTGTTTGGTTTTTTTCTGTTCTTGTCCTGATGAGTCAAAGCACTCATGGGGAATGTGGTTCAGGAAGAGGAATTTTATTTTATAGAATGAATAAGTAAATATCCTGTAATTCAGGGAAACAACTAGCTATTGATTTCCTCAGAGGAGAATGATCTTAGGTCTAGTACTTTCAGCATTAAACTTAAAATCATTTTAGAGCCCAAAAGAAGAAGTTTTCATTAGTACATATTTAACCTGTGTTCTTACCACTGTCCTCCTTCTTGGGAGTACAGAGTAACCCCAGGCCAAATTTAAACTGCTGGCATAAGGAACAGTTGTTGTGAAAGCTGAAGTCAGGTAAAAAGAAAAAAAACCTAAAATAACCATCAATGGTCTTAACATGGACCTTGATCTTCTTGTTTAGTCTGGCACAACACATTCTGTTAGACCTCCAAGTGATTGGGCTTCCTTGTTTACAGTCTTGCTCTTATTTTTAGGTACATTATCAGGGATCTCAGCCCACTTCTGTGCAGAGGTGTATCCCAGCTATTGTATTCTGTTCCCTGTACTGTTATGACAATAGCTATGATTGTGTTGTGTTCCTGTGTTCAGATTAAAAGTATCACGTGGGACATGAAAAACACTACCTTGATTTCACATTTTGCAATGAGGAAAATAAAAAAAAGTCTCTTCATTTTCAGCATAGAACGGGAGACTTGGCAATTTTACAACACTGGATTAATAATTTATTTCTATTTGCAAAGCTAATTTGAAATCCTCAGATCAGTGGACATGTATGGTTTATGAAGATTGCATACACCAAATTCGGTCTTCTGCAGGTTAAAAATGTAAACTATTTTGTGTCATCTTTGGGTATCTTTATAGTTTGTTGAGGTGCTGAAGTGAGCATCTCTCTTGACCTTCTTTCAAGCTGACTTCTATATTTTACCCTAGGATTTTGTAAATGAAAATGGTCACCTTTATGAAGAAGGTCGCTTCATTCCTGAGGATTTTTTTAGGCACTTTAATAATACCATTGAAGTCTACAAGGAGTTTGCAGACAAGTTGGATAAGAATGACTGCATTCTACCTTCAACAGTAGAAACACCAGAGAATGGTAAGATAGCTATAATTTTGTGGAACAGAATCTAAGTAGATATAAATGGATGATTTGCCTTTGATTACATTGATGCTAAGGATCTAGTGCTGTATCTCCATGTCTCCTTTCTACTGCCAGTTAAAATTACTACCAACACTGAAGCTTGTATTTCTGTCCTAAGTCGAGTTCTATCTGGCAGTAAAACTTATGCCATCGTTCTTAGTGACATCATTCCTTAATGTAATCCAAATAACCTCACAATAGTCTGTTCTGTTTCTTTTCATCCCAAATATATCCTGGATTGTCTTTTTACATTGTTCTTATTATTATCTTTTATTAATACTCTATTTAATTTTTATAAGGCAGTAAAGGAGTCTAAGATTGCACTACTGAAAGGAAAGGAAGCTAGCATAAGTTGTAAACTACAGCAGCCTTAAGTCACCTCCATATTCATCCCACTCTTCCTGAAAAGGGCCATACTTACTTTACGTAAAAAATTTAACAAGCTCAAGTCAGGCTTCTGCAGTTCATTCTCATCACAGAATCACAGAATCGCTCGGTT